GCTGTAGGTCGTCTTGTTAGGTGTTCTCTTTCTGCTCTATTTAGCGATACAGATAGATGGTCCTGGACAGAGCAGTGTAAAATTTTTAGTGTAAGAAATTTTCTCATGCACGCAATGAAGCAGCATCCACAGACAGTCAGGAAGGCCACTGCAACATGATTAAAAGAAAAGACACACTACCACTCCATCTACCAAATCACTGTTCCATGAAAGGTTTGAATGGATCACTTGTCCCTGAGTGCTAGGCCAATTCGTCAGCAAGGGTGATGAGCTACTTTAATGCTTGAATCACAGTGCCATCAGGTGCAGTGTTGTTAGGGATAAACATGAAAGAACTAGCCTCAAATATCAGTAGAAATCAGGGGCAGGAGCAGTGAAGTGCTTCTAAACAACTTCAGCATACATGCTAAGCTGCTTACCTGATGTCAGTTGAAATGGTGATGTGGCCCGAGTTGGCATAGCAGGAGCCTACACCACACACCTAGAAACATTAGCTTGGGAGAGAGACCAAACACACACACAGTTTATTTTTGTAACACGAGGGCTGCCACGATAAGTCAACTAGTCACGATTACGTCGAGATCGTCGACGACTAATTTAATAGTCCACGCGTCCTGAAAGATGCAGGAATAAGTACTAGGATTTAAGGGTGTAATAATGGACTGAAACAGAAGATGGCAGTAATGCATGTACAAGGATGCCAGCTGCTGTTAAACACCAAAGAATGGTAAATGGCCTGTATTTGTATAGCGCTTTACTTAGTCCCTAAGGACCCCAGAGCGCTTTACACTACATTCAGTCATTCACCCATTCTCACATAGATTCACACACTGGTGATGGCAAGCTACATTGTAGCCACAGCTGCCCTGGGGCGCACTGACTGAAGAAGAAGAAGCAGCAGCAGCAATCTCAGGTATCGTAGCTGTGTCCAAATTTAGGGGCCACATCCTTCAGAGGTCGCATTTGTAGACAGATTACGTTACAGCGACGCAACGCAGGCTGTCCAAATTCAACGACTCCCCCAAATGCGGCTGGACAAATGTGTCCTCCTTTTCCCTAGATGTGAAGGATGGGTTGGGTGTATCCAGAATTCATAGCACGACCCAGCCAATTCCAGTTTACAACAATGGCGGCAGCTACTTAGTTTTAATATTATTCTTTCTGGGTCACAAAATAAACTTTTAAGATATTTTCAGGCGAGAATGTAACTGTGTAACCTTAAAATATCAGCTCGATTTATCAAGACGTCCCATATTTGCAAAAGTGCTCTGACGTTTTTGGAGATGTCTGTTACCCACCAGCTTGAAACCTAGTCGGGGTTCAAGGCTCACTAGAGCAGGTGAGAACAGCGAACTCCCGGCACATCGTTTTCAGACCCCCGCGGTCTTTCGCTACTCAGGTTAAACATGACATATAGGTCACTTAGATAACTTTAAAATGTTATTGTTTGGCTTTTTTCAGTATTTTATTTGTTTGTGAGTAAATCATTTTGGCTGAGAATAAAGTTATAGTTTCCACACAGCTGAATAAACGTCAAACAGAAAACTGATTAAACAAAAGTGTGAGATGGTAAAGAATTTACTCAGTGTCCTGTTATATTTTAGATAGCAAGGAGCAGACGGCTGAGTTTATTAAACTCAACTGGGACAATCTGCTAATTTCATTAAAAGTTTAATAAACTATCATCTTGTCTTTATTTTTAGTTAGCACATACCTTAAACACTAGCTGTAAGCTAATGATAGTTATATAAGAGCAGATGCATGCTAGTGCAATAAGCTGTACGTTTTACGTCCAATGGATGCGTGATCTGATTAGTCAAACAATCACAAAAATAATCTGTCAGTAGTCGACTATCAAAAATAACAATTTGTGGCAGCCCTTGTATCGTGTCTCCATCTTTTCAGCATTAGTTATGTTTAAGGTCATTACTTTTGTGACGTTTGTGCTATGTGTTCGAGTGTTAGCTTGGTGTGCAGATGGAGAGGCTGTGTCGGTGAATAGTATTTTAAATGAAAGAATGAAAATGGGTCATTGCCTGATGTCCAATGCATCCCACCCTGTGTCCTTTATTTCAGAAATTTGCCACACTGCTATCAAACTTAATGTTATAGTCAGTAGCATCGCTACTCATTTCTTGATACCTTCCTTTTTCCTCCCTAATCAGGAGTCCCACTGTGGACAGCCTTCAATAGAAAACTTTGCCATCTTCGCCAACATTTTCAGAGTTTTCCATTAGGTCATGGTACCTGGGTACCAGGTCCGTACTATGCAGATTACAGATTTTTGATCCTTTTCAGTCTGCTTTTCAAAGCAGCACTCCACTGAGACCGCTCTCTTAAGGTTCTATAAGGATCTGTTAATGGCCTCTGATGCAGGAAATTGTTCTGTGATCATTTTGCTTGATCTTAGCACAGCCTTCGATACCATCTAACCATTTGCTACTGCTTAGCCTTTTCAGGGTTGCAGAGAGCGCTGGGGCCTATCCCAGCTGGCGAGAGAAGGGTATACACACACACACACACACACACACACACACACACACACACACACACACACACACACACTCTAGCTGTCTTAGGGTGATAGGCGGGGTACACCCTGGACAGGTTGCCAGTCTGTCGCAGGGCTAACACATAGAGACAGACAACCATTCGCACTCACACCTGTTCACAATTCAGAGTTAACCCAACCCCATTAACTGCTTGTCTTTGGACTATGGGAGGAAACCAGAGTACCCGGAGAGAACCCACGCAAACTCCAAACAGGAAGACCCCAGTCTGATGGTGGATTTGAACTCAGGGCCTTCTTGCTGTGAGGCAACAGTGCTAACCACCGTGACACCATGCTGCCCTATAAAAAAAAACAAAAATTATGTGTGAAAAATTATATGTTAAAACTATTGGTGCCTACCAGTCTTGCGCCTCAGAGTCCTAGTAGATGCACCTGTGGTATGAATTTAAAAATCCAGTTTTGATGGGTTCTCAAATCACCAAATTAGAATATTCTAGATTACATGTTTCTTGCATTCAGTCTAGGTATAGATTTTTTAGATGCACCAATGGGATCACTTTTTACCAATCAACTCATCACTGTAACCAGTAAAACAAATAGAAATTGTTTAACCTGTTCTCGGAAGTACTCAGAAAAACACAAAAACAGCAATGGCATCTCAATCTCCTGATGAAGAACAGGATACTAATACAATTCTAAACCCAAGATGAGCATATTAAGATGCAACTTCTACAGATGCATTATAGAGGTTTCTCACAAAAATTTGCAATTTAAAGTCACGACGATAAAGTGGCTCATGAATAACTGTTGAATCACTTTTTATTTCAAACAGCATTCACACAATACATTTTATTAATGAGGCACATTCACATCAAATGCTAAATAACTTCATGCATGGCTGAATGTTAGTTACAACTTCATCAAACTGAATGCCAATGTTGACTGTAAATGAAAATATTGCTTCATTATTTGGCACAGTAGGAAACTTTTGCCCATTACATGACCACAGGTGTGTTCAAGTGAGGTTATAAATCATAATTTGACCTAAAACATGTCTGAAAAAGAAAGAAATCCAAAGATTGTTAGCGGCTGCGTCACATGATAATTCACATTCAGAAGCACTGTTGCACCAATGTTGTAGAGAATGTCTGAGACTGATCAAAAGCCATCTTGACATCCTGACCTTCACGAGGTTCTTGTCACACTGTCTTCATTTGAATGTTTTGGCATTACTTCCACTTAACACCCAGCCCCGCCCACCACCACCACCTGCTTTTGGCCAGGGATGTTTCTGGGCAGTTTTTAACAACAACAGCTATAATGAATGTAACAAGTGGCCAGTGAAACCACGCAGGATATCAAGATGTTCCTCTAACGTAAAAGAAACTTTAAACCCATTTCAGGGGTTAGTACACTCCACATCAAAGGTTAAATTCCCAGAGGTGTTTTAATAACAATAATTCATCAATCACCAATGACATGGATGTTTAATATAGAGTTGTACAAATGGTGTTCAGCATTTTATTAGTAGTCATAATATGAAAAACATGTCTTTTACACCCAGAAGAGAAAAAGTTTAAATGAAAACAATGTTATACTGCAGTATTTACACATCCTAATATGCCTATACAATTAGTATTGCGTTAATCGTGGTAAAAGTAGAACAACATAGCATGATATTTATATGCTGATTACCTCTGATTTTACCACCCTGTAACCACTGCTACAAATTACAGTTATTTCACCTGGATAAGAGTACCTGGATTTAAGCATGATTAATACTGAACATACCAAAACCGCTAATGTTAATCAACCACACTATTAACAATATAAGATAATCAAATCCAAGAGCGCTAACCCATCTCAATTCTAGAACCGATTCAATTAAGAAGGTACAATCAGTGACTGATGGGAAAAGACAAATGGGTGCTTTTCCTGAAAGAGAAACAAGTTCACCTCTCATCCAGTAGCTCATTCTCCAAACATTTACAATCGGCTTTCTACCAGCGCACGCACCATGCAGAGGGAGTGCATCTGCCAAGGCCGGGCTCCTTTTCAAATTTGAAAATAAAACATTGATCACGACTTTTTAAGGCAGCAATATATACATCCACATACTCGAGTCCTCTCACTGGAGGAGAGTCGGATTTCAGACAATTCCCTTTCGAGGTGAGAGAATGAAGACAAAATAATGAAAGTGAGAGGTGACTTAACTCATTTATTATATACACAACCCAGGGTGATAATGTCTCTGTTACAGAGACATATAACTTATGCAATGTAAAAATGGCAACAAACAAAGGGAGAGTTCAAAGGAATTTGAAGAAGTGAGTGTTGTACTCGAATCGGGTCAGGTATGTTCTGAGGTGACTAGATCCTGCGCAGAGGGTGCCACATGGACACGGGCTTCCTCAGAGTTGCCAGCATCTGGTTCCAGTGAGTGATTCCCATCCGCTGCCTCAGGGCGATGATCACATGACCAAGGTTCTCACCCCGGCCATCGTCTGTGGCTCTGCACCGTCACCCTCAGAGAGAGCTCCTGCAGAGCACAAACGTGGTTACATAACCTTCTCTCTAAGCAGGATTCAGCTGGGTTTTTTTCTTCATCTAAATCTTTATGGAATTAGTTAAATACATGTGTCACAACAACAATTTGACCATATCTCGATACGCTTTTGCACTTTTTCTAACAGATTATTTTTGTGGGGATTGAATGATCCATTCATTTTAAAGGCATAGTTCCACTACAGGATTTCAATTATGTCACCATCATATATGTAGACCATTGAACAATGTATCTTTCAGTTTGTTGGTTATTCCAGCAATTGAGAACCACGACTGAAAGATTTAAAGAACCACCACCAACATACAGTAATATGCAAAAGTCTAAAGCCACCCTTCATGGTTTTATTGTTTGCTAGTAAAATTGGAAATGGATGCAAAGATTTATTAAAACTAGTGGTGTCAGCGTTAATCTCGTTAAAATGACGTTAACGGCATAACAACAATAACGCTGCAAATCCCCGTTAGCGAGTTAGCGCCGATCGCCCCGTGCGTAGGGCTGCACGGCATCAACGCGTTATGGCGTTATGGCGTTATGGCGTTATGACAGCACTAATTAAAACATATACAAACAACAATATTTGGTATGACACCTTTATTCTTCAAAATATTCTGAACATCTTAGGCAAGCTTTCCTTTAATTTAAGGAGTCTTCAGGTGTTGGAGTCTGCTTAGGATCACTGCCAATCAGACGCTTCCATAAATGGTCAGCTGGGATAACTATATTTACTCAGGGGTTTTTTGATGTGATGTTCTTCTGCTTCCCTGGCCCTAGTCAAACCTTAAATACTGATCTGTATGGGTAGCTTTATGGTACACATCAACTTTTAAATGCCCACCATTAGCGATAGAAATCTCAGTCTAAGAAGGCTAACCTGCCACTTTTCATTTGCTCCCTGGTGAATTGATGTGTTGGTCCACCAAGGAAATGTGATCTGTGAATTGTGGTACATCCTGAGATTACATTTTCACCCAGGTGTCATCCACATACCTGAATAGGTGGAATTAAGACACGTTCCAAAAGCAAACACACTTGGTGGGTGCTGAGAGTGGTCCTGTTGCTGAGGTTGGGGTCATCCTGTAATCTCTTATGAACTACCTCTAATGTTTCAGTGACTTGAACACAAGTGATGCTAGTGCCTTCCTCTCCTCCACGCTGATGTTGGATGCTGGGGTATTTGCATTGCTGAGACCGGCCGAAACTTTCGTCTGTAGTTGCCCTGCTGCTATGTCTGCGGCTGTGGCTGCGATCAGTTCCACTAGCTGGATTTGTCTCTGCGTCAACCCTTTTGAAAGGATGTTTTTCTCTGCTTGGGTGAGTTGTCTGTCAGGCAGATTTTTAATCCACTTGTCCACATGCCCGGTGTGGCATCCTTTTCTCTTCTGGGCGCTGAGGACACTCTCCGTATTTTGCTGTGGCTTCCCATGCACAACAAGTAAGTCAAACTTCCTTTGTTGCCTGGTCTTAGACTTCTCATACTGTATGAATGAGCCTTCTCAGTGAATTTAAACACCTTTTTAAGAGTATTCATCTAGAATCATTGTAAGGTTGGGGAAACCTGCAGTCAGCTGAGACTGAAGAAGTCACTTGGATGACTGATGAAACGTTTCTCCCTCTGAAAACACTATTTCCTGATGAACAGAATTAGCTTTTGGGATTTACTAACGTGAATGATTGAGAATGCATCAAGACAAGTCAACATCGTAGCCACTGGCCTCAAGTTAGCATGCTAATATTTCCCTTGTGAGTGTGTTAGTCAGCTAATAAAAATGGCCTTTCTAGACTTGCTACCATCTTTGCATATACATATTAACTTTTGCTTTATTTTATTTGTATACTTATAATTTATTGCACATTTACTTGAAAGCCCTTATCACTTTTACAAGAGGGCACATACAGGATTATAAAACACAGATTGAGATAGATAATAGTGTAACGACAAAAAGAAGCCTAAGTCCTGCAAAACTTGTGGGTTTTTTTTAATTTTCCCTCCTACTAATTAATAATGTTTCCTATTAACATTTTCTTATTCTGGAAAATAATAAATCATGGTCTGAAACATACCTGCAGAACGATTGACGGCACAGAGAAGATCATGGCTTCATTGAAAATGGGGTTTGTGTCATCCCTCTTGGTGGAAGTCTTCTTCTTACTGATTTTCCTGCCATCTTGCAGCAGATAGACTTTGACAAATGGATCTGATGAAGGAGAAGGAGTGAAGGTAGAGTGAATAGTTTGTAGAACATCCACTAAATTCCTCATTGGAGACAAATCAGGTAGACTCACAGCTCTGTATACAGAATTAGCTCTGGAGGCGGTGTTTCAGTGTGGTTCGCTGTCTCAGGCAGTGTGACCATTATCAGTTGACACACTATTTAAAGAAATTCCATAAAGTTTCTGGGCTGCCTTTCCTCATAACAGCCATCCCTCAAGATTTTCTTCATTTAAAGCAATGCATTAACAGGGAGTATAACATCTAGTCCTTTTACTGAATAAAAATAGACAGGCTGCTGTTATTAAATCAATAAGCATTTTGTTTGTTCGCAAGATGTTAGCGTGTTGAGAACGGCACAGATTTAATGGCATTAATACACATGCACTGCACAGCTGACACGAAAAAGAAAACAAAACGCTCATGCACACACTTCAGGTTAACTTCTAATGATGGAAAGGAAACACAACCCTGCAGACAAAAAGCATCCCTGACCTGCGGTGTTCTTGCCATTGGTCCACACCAGGTTCTTGCACTTAGCCACAACCACAGTGAGACGCTCTGCTGTTGGCAAATAGCTGAGAGACAACAAGATCTCCCCGACTGCATCCACTGCCTGTGGGGTCAAACCAGAGCATGGCAGCCATTAAATACAACATCATACATTTCTAGTCAAGGTGATGCGCCGACAGAATGACTGTAACGTGTTGACTGGAGTATGGCGAATCAGAACTCCTACTACTGTGGATTTTATTTAATTTTAAGGAGCTACACACAGTCTTTAAATTCGTTTCTAGTTCAATTAAGAATATATGAAAATGAAAGTCTAAATTACTAAAATTATATATTCATTGCATAGTGTTAGTGCATAATGTATAGAGTTTTGAAACATTTAATTTTCAATTCATCATTTTGTCAAAATGAGTAAATCACGGTTAACAGTCATCCGTTTATTCCTTCTAAGCTGAACTATTGTAATTTCTGTGTAATCGGATTGTTGTAAAGGTTTCCTGAATACCTTTCGTTTGATCCAAAACACCCCGAGATAGTGCTGACTAGAAAGAGAGATCATATTTCTCTCATGCTGACTTCTCTCTGTTGGCTGAATTGAATTTAAAATCTTTCTTCTCAAATAAAAAGCATTAAATAATCAACCGGATCCCGTCTTAATGACCCTAAAGTGTCATATTATCCCTTCACTGTCAGATTGCAGGCTTACTTGTGGTTCCTAGAGTTTCCAAACGTAGAATAGGAGGCAGAGGCTTCAACTCGTCTCCCGTGAAATCCACTCCCACTTTGACTTTGGGAGAGAGACACCCTCTCTACTCTAAGCTTAGGTTCCAAACCTTCCTTTTTGATAAATGATTTTGTGGTGTTGCTACAAGCTCAGGCTGCCCATGATGCACTAAGCACTCCTCCTCATCCCTCTTTTTACTCCCCTTGTGTGCATATATCGCTGCCACATGTCGTTGACTTCTCCCTCCAATAGTTCGTTTTGTCCTTGTCTCTCTAAGCTCTCATTTTTATCTCCTGTCTTTCCCCTCACTGCCCTAATACTGGTAGTAGATTGGCTGCCCCTCCCTGAACCTGGTTCTTCCTTTAAAGGGGAGTTTGCCTTTCCCACAGTCGCCAAGTGCTTGCTCATAGCAGATCATCGCATAGTTGGGATTTTCTATCAAATATTGTAAGGTCTTTATCTTGCACTGCGAAGCTACTGGAGGTGACTGCTGTTAATAACTGCTGTTATGAATAGTTTTATAAATAAAACAGAAATGAGTGTACTCAACTGAATATTAATTATTCATAATTAAATATCTTTAATATATGTGATTATTGCAGCGCCTCACTCCAGGCTCTGTGGATACTGTTCATCGTTTTTTCCACAGCATGAGGCTTCTCTGATCAGCTCACTGAGGACACAGTTTTGCTGAGAATAAAAGATATAATATATGTGCTTTACATCACATTTGTTTATATATGTTATTGAAAATATTACACATGTTGATTTCTAAATAAAAAAAATAATGCTGTTAGATTTAGTTTTAGACAAGATTTGATCCAGTGATGAGGTAACAATGATTCTCCCATCCTGTTAAACTGTCGCCACTAAACCTATCATGGTAAATTGTATCTATTAGTTTTATATTGATATTGGTCACATAGTTTTCACAATAGAATTAAAAAAAATCTGTACGCTTCGTCCATTTAGGAAGCACCCTCACTGACCTGACCTTGATTCTGTTTGGATCTGACATGTAGTTTTGTTAAATGTCCAGCAGATGGTGTCAGACACCGCTGTGCTTCCTGAAACGTTGCAAGGACAGAACTTAGATGTTCCAGTTCCAGCATTATTTTTCTGTCTCTTCTCTGTATCAACACACCTTATTGACATCCTGAAGATAGAGCCAGGCCGTTGAATGGTCTGATGGTCAGGTCAAGTCTGACAGCTTGAGCTCTGCCTAACGCCTGCGCTGATATTTCTCTCATCAGCATCGATACCAAAAGCGGCAAAGCGAAGGCTGTACTCCTCCAGGCTGGAAGAATCCATGGGGATGGAGAAGCGCTCATCGAAGATCACGGTGAATGCATTTGTCTGGACCTGTTGGAGGTGGTGGACAATTTGCAGGATTGTATATTCCAAACTCAAAACACACAATGATGCAACAACAATGGAAAATAAACCAAACAGAATGTGCAACTGCACCATACTTCTCAGAGGAATGTGTAATATGTTTGACTAGTCTTAAATACCACTTTTGTAATCTACTTGAGCACTCAATGTGCTTTCTACAACTTATGCCTCATTCAAACAAGCAGCTTTTTCTACACTAAGTGCTTTCTATCTAATATTCACGCTTGGATAGACACATCAGGGAGCAACTTGAAGTTCAGCATCTTGCCCAAGGATCTGATGACATGCAAACTGGAGCAGGCAGGAATCAAACTCCAACCTTGGAATGGTAGATGACATGCTCTACCACCTGAGCTACAGCACCTGTAGTGTTGCTATTAAGAAGCTTACGTGATAAGAGCACAAGTCTCTTTTTTGTTGATATACCAGAAAAAAATGCTACAAAAACCACATTCATTTCTTTTCTTGTCATCCAGAACACATTTTAATGTGGAAAACAGCCTCTGACAAGCAAACCACACCATGACTACTTAAGATCAAAGACAGAGGCTGCCAGAGCTACAGTTGTAATGGTAATTTCAAGTCATCAGGTCTTGAGGGGATGTGTGGAAACCGATGCGGTCAGAAGTTACCAGGCAACTAGTAACATAGCAGATTTAATAATAGCCACCCCCCCCCCCCCCCCCAACTCACACACACACCAGTGTTTGTTCTCGAAGTATGAGATCCAGCATGAATATTTTTGCTAAATGTGTCTGAAATAAAAACACTGCAGCTTTCTCACAAACACATCATAACCGAGATCGCGAGGTCACCTGGGGTTTCCAGTGATGAACAGCAAAACGACAACGCACTGCGGCGTTGAGGAATGTGAATTTAGAGCAGAGCAAATGGTCTACAAATCAGCTTGTGCGGCTTGACCTTGGATTGTGCTTCATATCAACCACTGAATAGCATCATAACTGCTCAGCACCTGCGGGATCCAGAGAAAAAAGTAGCAACATACAACATACAAAGCATCTTGAGCAGCCTTCCACCACCGTGTGAGACTACCTGCTTGCAGTATTAGCTTTATCACTTTTACAATGGAGATGTAAGCCCCAATAAAAAGAGAGAAAGAAAGAGAGGTGTGTGTGCACGTTGTTACATGCAACAGACAGGCAAGCAGAACTGACAGCAAATAAATGAGAGGAAAAGAGGGAGAAACGGGGTATTTGGGTGGGTGGGGCTTGGGGGTTTTTGACAGAACGCAAACAAAAGCAGTAACAGCACAGAGAGGCGCTGGAGAAGAAAAAAAAGAGCAAAAGGAAGCATAGATGCAAGGGGTGGGTGGAGGGAGGCCTGCGTGGCCATCGGAGCGAGTAAAGCTGATGTCAGCATTTCCTTGGTCTTCCCTTGACATTAAAGAGGGAGACACTAAAGCTGCTGCATCGGCGGCTGCTCCTGTTATGATCACCGTCAGATCAAACCCCTCCGAACGGCACGGCAACTAAAACTGGGGCACCGACGAGTCCCCGCGGCATCCGTGCAAGCCTGCACAAAACCACAGCCCCACAATGGAGCGATGACTCACAGCGTGGAAGAAATGTGTGAATATTCTGGCAGCGTTAGTGCCAAGAGCAGAAGGCGAGCGCCAGGTGTAGCAGATGGCGGGAGCGACGCCTTGTTTCTTCTCTTGTCAGAACAGTTGCTTCTTACTAAGAGCGTGATGAAATTGTTCTAGTGGTGAATTTAAAGGAAAGCTAAAAATGAAGTAGATTATCAGGAAGCAAATGCACCACAAAAGCTATAATGGAATGCAGTACAAGTAAATGTTTGTTAATGCTCTTAATGAAGCAAGTGAGCAGCTGAAATGATTTAATTTGATTTACTCAGACTGTTTTGGATTAAAATGTAGTGACTGTGGAGGCTATTTAACTACAGCAGGCTCACTGTCATGTTCTACAAACCAATTTGAGATGATTCTTTGTAACACGGCACATTATCTTTATGAAAGCAGCTATCATATAAGATAAGATAAGATAAGATAAGATAACCTTTATTAGTCCCACACGTGGGAAATTTGTTTTGTCACAGCAGGAGTGGACAGTGCAAAAGTTATGAGGCAAAAATTAGAATACAATAAGAATAAATACAGTACACAGCTGTACAGAATAGAATAAAATACTATATACAGTAGAATAAAAATAAAATAATATACAATAAGATAAAAATAGAATACAAATACTATATACAACTGAGTAAAAATACAACGATGACAGAAAAAGATTATTGCACTTAGTATTATTGCATATGTATGGATGTGTGTGCTTGATCAGTTAAAGTCTTTATTATGGAGTCTGACAGCAGTGGGGAGGAAAGACCTGCGAAATCTCTCCGTCCCACACCGTGGGTGCCGCAGTCTCCCACTGAAGGAGCTGCTCAGTGCTGTCACAGTCTGCTGCATGGGGTGGGAGATGTTGTCCAACAGGGATGACAGCTTAGCCGCCGTTCTCCCTGTCACTCACCACCTCCACTGGGTCCAGAGGGCATCCTAGAACAGAGCTGGCCCTTCGGATCACCCTGTTCAGTCTCTTCTGTCCCCAGCAGAGATGCTGCGCCCAGCAGACCACACCATAAAAGATAGCAGAAGCCACAACAGAGTCATAGAAGGTCTTCAGGAGTGTGCCCTCCACCCAAACGACCTGAGTCTCCGCAGCAGGTACAGCCTGCTCTGCCTTTCCTGTAGAGGGCGTCTGAGTTATGAGTCCAGTCCAGTCTATGTTCAGATGAACACCAAGGTACCTGTAGCTGTCCACAGCCTCAATGTCCATACCTTGGATGTTCAGTGGTTGCAGTGGAGAATGCTTGTGCCTGCGGAAGTCTACCACCAGTTCCTTGGTTTTACTGGCGTTGATCTGGAGGTAGTTGATGGGTAGATGTGATGGGTGAACTGTGACTGTGGTGTTTAGATGATGCTCAGTTGGTACTAAGAAGCCCAAAGTATACCAAAAAAATATCCCCCATATCATCAAACCACCAACAAACAGCCTGAAACACTGATACAAGACAGGACGGGTTCATGCTTTCCTCTTGTTTATGCTGACTTCTGACTTGCAGCAGCAATCGAGGCGACGTTTTGCTAACCCTCTGTTGTCTAATTTGGCTGTGAATGTGCAAACTGTAACCTCAGTTTTATGTTCTTAGCTGGCAGGATTTGCACCTGGTCTGGTCTTCTGCTTCTGTAGCCAAAGGTTCAGCGTGTTGTCCATTCAGATGCTCTTCTGCATAATTGGGTGTAGCGACTGATTATTTGCATCATGTTGGCTTTCTATCAGCTCAAAGCAGTCTGGCCATTCTCGTCTGACCTCTGACATCAACGAGGCATTTTCACCCAGACAACAGCTGCTCACAGATATTTTCTCTTTTCAGAACATCTGTAAAGCGTACAGATGGTTTTGCTGGGAAATGTCAGTAGATCAGCAGTTTCTAAAATACACAGACCAGCGCTTCTGGTTCACAAGCATGCACGTTTAGAGTCACTTGAATCACCTTTCTTCCCCATTCTGATGCTCAGTTTGAACTTCAGCGGGTCATCTTGTCTTGTCTAAATGCACTAATTGACTGATTAAACAATAGATGTTCAACTGTATCTAAACTGGCTGGTAAGTGTTACACTCCATAGAAGTCATTATGTACTCCATTAATGACAAAATGAAAGTTAATTGAGAAAAAAGAAAACACTGCAGAATGTGCCATTGCATTGTCTTGCTCATCAATTACAGTGTCTTTAAAGCACTATTCTTCCGAGTGAGATAATTAATGTACTTTTATAATTTTTGGGGTTACTGCTCGTTGTAAGAAAGGTTGCCCATTGGAGACATTAAAGGCATCCTTGATCCAGTAAAGATGTGAATAACCTTCCTGCAGCTCTCGGGGGATTGTCCACTCAAGCAATGAAATGGGCTCTTCTGACGGACAGGAAGAACTGGCTTGTCGAGCTGCAGGATCGAGCATCTCCTCCTGAGGGACGTATCACTGTCTCTGACTAAAATTCAGCCAGGTCTGAGATCTTAAACACATTTCAAGGGAGCCCAAACTGCCCTCACTGAGCAGGAGGCTTTCGATGCACGTTATTCCTCCATGAATTTATCAGAAGCAAATTTTATCTTAAGTTCAGTCATCTCAGCACTAAGTGCTAATTAGCCATCCGTTAGTTTCGTTTAGTTTCAGTCCTCCAGCATCACAAACCCGCTCTTTTAGCAGTCAAAAGCATGAATAAAAAAAGGCCCCATCACATTTTTACACTCTATTGCAAGCTAACGAGGAACCCGCAGCTGTCATGATACATGTGTTCGTACATTACATTAACACAGCTATGTATGATGCTTGCTTTCACGCTTTGATTAACTTGTTAATAAATAATGTTTTTATCTCAAATTTAAGGTTTGGCTGTTATTGTCCTTTTTTATATCTGTGAAACATTATATTACTTGTAATGGTCATTTTTAGCCATGGCAGCTGGTTCTTCATAACTTGTACCGTGTAAATATCTCACCAGTGAGTCATGGTTTTATTTATATCATTCATCTGTGGGTCATCTGCTCCTCTGCTGTAACTCTGTCGTCACACAAGGTCCTCACATCTGTCCCTGCCTCCCACCTGCTGCATCACTTGATGTTCCACATCCTGTTCCACTCTGCTCATTAGTTCTTCAGTACTCTGCTCCACCCTGAACAACTTGACAGATTTTTGCTTTGAGCTTTGGAGTCTTTTTGCCAGTTTGTATTCTGCCTGCTTTTGGCCTACTACTTTCTGTTTAATGCTAATTAGCAAATGCAAAAAAGTAAGTATTTAGAAAACATTTAAAAAAAAAAACATAACAGGGAAAGCCATTCCCCTTAAAAAACAGAGTCCCACTTTAATTATAATTATGAGGTACTAAAAAACAAAAATAACCATTAGTACCTTCTACAAGTGAAACTCCATTGAAAGCCATTATTATTTATTATATAAAACAAGTACTGTGAAGACCTTTACTGTCCTTTTTGACATTTTACATTCTAGATGAATTAAACACAGCATCTTGAGGTCTGTCATATTTTCCCTCAAACCTTTTGCAAAGCAAATTACCTTGAAATGAAACCTACATTTTGTATTCATTTATTTAAACATAAGAAATTCTAAAATGTATCTTTTTATCACACAGATTCCATGAGGTCTCCCATAGTATGAAAATACCAGAAGGCAGAGGTTTCCTTACCCTTGTCACTCCCACATTAATCTCCTCTGGCCCCAGTGAGACTCTGATGAAGCAGCCAGGGAAGTCGCCTTCCTCCTTCTCCAGCAGGTCTTTGCCCTGGTGCAGGGTGATGTGGAGCAATCCCATCCCCTGGCCCGGGTGCTTGGATGGTTCAAATTCCAGGGTCACCTCCAGCTGGCCAACAGTGAAGTCATTACCAAAGTTGTTGGCAATAGAGGAGATTGAGCTGAGTGAGTCGGTAGAGATGGATCGGTTGAGCTGAGCTATGCCTGATGGGTCCAACTCTCTACTCATTAGCTCCAAATGGCCCAGGTCCCTGAAGCCATCTGGGGTGTCGCCAAGGGCCAGACTAGGCTTACGGCTGGATGTGGTGGAGGTTCGCCGGTGGTTATTGGCTGCCACTCTCTTTGAGTAGAGGATTAAAAAAAATGACAAAACAACATTTTAACACCTCAAGGATTTTTTTCACTTGAGAAACAGGACATGGAAACATCTGATGGCAACTTTTAGGTTGACAACATGAACTTGTCAGCAAAGAATGGATTCAGGGAGCGGCTATACTTGTAATAATTCACCTGTTATGGTCTTTTAGCTCTGTTACTGGTCTCTACCAACTCTTCAGAGGAATAGCTCGCTGTTTAACAACTTTAATGCACTTTTGTTTGTATGCTAGTTGTTACATATGCATTATGAATAAATTAGTTTTTCCACAAAACTGTGTTAAAGAAAAAACTAATGAGTATTGGACATAACCTTTGTTGACATCAGCTGCTACAGAAGAACAAAGTTTATTTGATAGTTAGCTAGTGAGATAGCTATATAGCTAGCTAGCTATCTAATAAACCTTGTTCTAGCAATTAGATACATAGTAGTGGTCCTGATTTTAAAAAAGTGATGAAAAACAAAGAAAATAAAAAATAAGGTAAAGTTAGATTAAAAAGTAGACTGAGACTGGAAAAATTAATTCAAATTGCATTCATTTCCACAGATTTACACTATAATGCTAAGAAACAACTGCAAAAAGTTGTAACATAGAAATATGTGTGTGTTACTATTGATAAATCTAATATTATTAGTGTATTATTCTTAGTTTTGTCAAGTGAAATAATTTATTTTTAATAATCACTGCAGAATGTACCTGTAATAGAAACTGACATTCAGCTTTTTTTTTTTATGCTCAGTTATATAACTAATCTCAAAAAATCAGATTCTTACTTGTAATTGACACCAAAGTTGCCTCTGCTTCGGCGTGAATCTGCAGGTATTTTTTCTAGTTTTTGATATTGTACGGGTACCTTTTGTCTGACTTCCGAGAAGGAGGTTCCATATTTTTCTTGCAGATATCGATAATCAAAATTGGGGAAAGGAGACGGCGTTGGAAAAGTTCCAGATTTCCACAGCTTCCAGATATTAAGCCCAGCCAGGCCCAGCAGTACGAAAAAGCCCACCAGGTAGAGCCCAACCTCCCAGCCCGGCGGGTTACGCACCACTAAAACAGATACAAAAAACAAATGCTTAAAGAATTCCTTATAAACTTCTGTTTCATCTGTAGTTACATAAAGTCATAGTTTGATCATGGCAAACAGACTGGGAGAACACCAGGTTGAGTAGGAATCTCGAACAGCTCCCAGTGACTGAGCACAGTCACCACTGTTACAGGTCTTGTCATTTAATGCCAAGTGGTGGCTTTGGGAGTCAGTCGGAGCACATAAAGTTTTATGTAAATCAGATGGTTGGGAACCAAATCTGACAAAAATCTGACAAACAAGTTAAAATGCCAGTTTGAATTAAATGCTACAGCATCTATAAAGGCACTGGAAGCCTGCACAGAGCTGGACTCCTAAAAATTGAATTGAAACTTCTTGAGGACTTTGCCAGCTTTATCTCTACTTGTGATAAGCCAGTTACAGAACAATGTAAACTGCTTTCTAACAGCACTGCCTCCATGTGAGATGAGGTCTGTGCAAATATAACAGTGCGGTTGTCAAACACTAATCCACACAAAGGTATTCAAACAAAGTAAGTATAGAAACAATTACTCACCACTCAGATGGTAGCCTGATATATCTCCACTCTGAGCCGAGGACATGGTGCTGCAGCCAGCCTGCAAGAACCCAACCAAACAATAAGTTCCTTTTTTTTCTTTTTCTTTTTTACATCTAATATGATTTTGCAAACTGTAACTTAAATGACCTTTAAACCGTGCTGGCAATAACCGTCAAGCAAATGTGTTTACATAAACCTGATTTGTGCCACAAGACAAACTACACTATTTATCCTTAATAACTCTTGACATCTGCTGCCATTTCAAAATGCATAAACAGGATGCATGCTTGGTAACACTGGTGCATAACTAGGTTTGGTGTTCATGACCAATGATATATTGCAAAAATTCTACAGTGTTTTCTCATCTGGTCATCAGCAGGAAAACATCCCTTCACGAGTGCCTTCCGGATCCAACACAATAACAAAACAAACAAAAAAAAAGATGAAAGGGGATTATTTTCTGAGGAGCTGAAGGGAAATGAAGTGACTTGGTTACAGTTTGGTTGGAGTATGGGACAGCTCGTGCTATTAGTGGTTAGCTTTAAGCCGCTAGCCTCAAGGAGAGAAGCCTGTTATCAGGTTTAAATGCTCCCTGAAATTACAGCACTTGACACTCCTCTCACAACACAGGAAAACCTTTGTATAACAATGTTCATATATATATATTATTTGCAGTACTCAGAAAAAAACATGCTTGAACTATGAGACATAAATCTGTGACTTTTGTTGTTGTGTGAAACGTGGGAATTTCAAAAAATAAAAAAATAGACACACGTTCTTTTCAAATGAATGGCAAAAACCTCAGGGCTCAGACTTCTGAATGTTAGTGCACTATAATTGTATGTGCACACAGGGAAGTTTCTTTAACTCTTCTTGTTCTGCTTTCTGCTGCACCATTTATCCATTATTTTCTGTCATGCCAACCCTCTGCATGTCCTCTTTCACTATGTCCATGAATCTTCTCTAAGATCTTCCAATTTTCCTCCTGCCCAGAGCTGCCAGATAGGAGGAAAAATCCTTTGTCCACTTAACAATAAAAAGATATTACATTTAAATGGTTTTCTTTTTTCTCTAAATGGCAGCAGGCGTTGTTGTCAAAGGACAAAACAACATTTTCTTGCACCCCTCTCTTCCTCTGCAAACTGAAAAAAAAACCCCAACATTGTCACTGGTGCGTGACTCATTCCTTCCCCCTCCTCCTTCCGAGTTTGTTGGAATCTCCCCCATATCTGAGCAGCACTGGGGAAATGGGAGCATTACACTAATGATATAGAAAAAAGGCCTGGAGGGGGTGGGGCTGCAGGATGTGTGTGTGTGTGTGGTGTGTGTGTGTGTGTGTGTGTGTGTGTGTGTGTGTGTGTGTGTGTGTGTGTGTGTGTGTGTCAGTTCTGCTGAGCGCTTTGCAGACCACAGTCATGCTGGCTGACGCAGTGCAGGGTCCACTGACAGCTGCTGATGTGCCATTAGCAAAGCACACGGAATCTCTGGCTGAGAAGGAAGCTCCAAGCACCACCTCCCTATCAGGGCCCAGCATGATTCAGATCAGCTCAGCTCTGCTTAAGGTAACGTGTGAGTGTAGAAGAGGTCCAGAAGCAGCATAAAAGAGGAAGAAGGGTCAGAGAGTGTGGAAGGGAATAAGAGCGAGAGCAAGACAAGGTCTCAGACGGATTTAGTAAATAACAATAAGGCAGCGTTGGTGTTCCGACGCCTCAGTGGGTTTAAGGCGGCAGAATAATGATGTCCAGCTTCCTGGGAACAGAAATAGACTACAAAACATGCTCACTGCATTTCTGTGGCGTACGTTCACAGGATAAAGTCCAATTATCATCCAACACAATGGCTCAAGGTTGTTTCTAACCTTTATACATTTAGTAGTCTTTCCTCCTTACCCTAAGGTAAGTAATATCCTTATTATATAAGTACCCAAACTGGGGACAGCTAGTGAGCGATGTGAATGTGAAATGACTCACAGCAAGAGCACAGTGGCAGAAACTAGAGAAAAACTTTCCAAACCAAAGTCCCCCAGAGTTTTACGCTGAGGTCTCTCTTCACCACAACAAACAGTATCCGCATCACTGCATCCAGGACCCCAATCCGTCTGTCAATCTCCCGCTCATCTCTGCCCTCATTCATGAACAACACCGTAAGATACTTAAACTTCTCCACTCGGGGAAGCAGCTTGACCCTGGAGTAGGCACTCCACGCTTTTCTAACTGAGGCCACTTCACCCCATTATGGTGATAAGCTCTTGGTAGTGACCGAAAGAATGACACTGCAGATACAAGGGTGAAAATGAGTTTTCTCCAAAGGCTGGCTGGCCTCTCTCTTAGAGATAGGATGAGTTGTTCAGTCATCTGAGAGGGCCTCAGAGTGGAGTTGCTACTCCTCCACATCAAAAGGAGGCAGCGGCGGTCACCTGGGTGAGGTGTTTGAAGCATGTCCCACTGGGAGGAATCCCCGTGGTAGACCCAGGATATGCTGGAGAGATTAAGCTGGAGGAGATAGCTGGGGAGAGGGACATCTTGCTTGGGCTGCTTCCCTGCAAAAATTGATGTGTGGATGAACGGGAGGATGGATGGAAGCTAAAAGGAAAAAAAAGTTTTTAACTGAGCCAATGTGTTTCTGCAATAAGTACAACACAAATAGTATTGCACTGATCACCAAATGTTCCTGCAACTGGCAGTTCAAGTCTTTGAATTGTGCTTCCTCAGATGTGCACAGACAGGACTGAGTCATGAGTAGCAATAGATCATGGGGGACCACAGAGGAGCTACAGCACACTGTGCAACTATATGTCTGATACTATATCTTGCTGGAAGGTAGGTTTGACGCCATGTCCTAAAAAGCATGAAAGAAATAATCTGTGCCCATGCGCATTCATTGATACATGTCTACCACAGAAGCAGTCTTCAGCTCAAAGGTGGAATTCACATGCATCGTCCTCAACAGAAGAGAATATATTCTGGCTTGCGACATTTGTTGCTTTTAAAACCACTCATTCCCGGTTTCCTTGTCTCTGTTCCAGGAAGGCGATCTAATGAGGAAGGAATCTATGCGATAAAGCTGAGTAGCTAGAAAGAGAAAAACAGAAGAAGAGATGGCAGCATATTTTAAAATTGCAGCCTGAACCCCGATGTCTTCTTCTCGTTATCAGATGTGCTGCTGTTTCCTCTTTTCGATTTGAGCTGACAGCTTATTAGCACACGGCTGTGAAGGGAAAGGTGAAAGTGTGCATTACAGCTTTCCCGCCGATGTGTCATCTTCATGCCCACATAATCTCGATTCTCCCACTTGTTAAGATTTATTTCACCACTGCTGCAGAGATTTTGCAATCTCATAACTTTCCTCAAACAGCCAAAAGCCATATCCTCTTTCTTCACTGCACACAGAGCATAGCTGCTCTGCTCTGCTGAGAGGACTTTAATTACTACAAAAGGCATGGAATGAGTATCTTGTCATAATGTCAGCTTGCAAAAAAATAATTGTTAAGCGGCACGAGACTAATGCGATGGAACAGTGAAAAATTGCGAAATATAATTTACTGAAACAGTAATGAGGTTGTAATGAGAAGAATTAAAACAAGCAGAAGTTTGGAGTTAAGCATAATGCATGCTTGTCACTATAACAACATATTATTAAGCTTCATATCTCACAGTGTTTGGATTTGTTGGGAAAGAGTGAAGATTTGATTTTCCTCCAGGCACTAAGACTGCAGTCCTGATCGGACCCTTATCATTTGTGACAAGAGAATTTGTGCACATGGTCTTGTCACCCACATATTATTGCTCAGGCTGTATGTGATTGAGACTCACAGCAGTATAACAGCTTTTTGTCAGCCTGGTTACAGTGCTTAAGAAAAACATAGGGTTACTCTTATTTTCCTCAATCAGTGATGAAAGGCTTTTTTTTTATAAAGCAGCAAACCAGGCTAAATGATGACCTTCTAAATTGGTGAGATGCCATTTCCTCCCTAGCTTGCGAGTTATCTGCTTTACGGTGCACATTTGAGAGTTATACCAGAGAGTCAACCTCCTCTGATTTGAGGCTTTCTTTTCCAGTGGAGCTACTGTTTCCAGAGTCGTACACAGTGGAGATGTAAAATTATTGACAAGATAATCGACCTCTGTGGGAGTAGTATTCAGGCAGCTGCTCTGCACCGTGTCGGTGAATTCTTTTTCTTGATTGATCTTTCTGAGTTAACTTAAGTAATTACATCATCCAAATCATTAACATGTCTCTTAGACCCCACTCCTACAAGACTGTTCAAAGAAATCATACCATTAATTAATGCTTCAATCTTAAATTTGATCAACCTATCTCAGTCACATACCACAGGCCTTCCAGCTGGCAGTAGTAATTTGGAGATTTTCAGTCAGGTTTCAGTGCAGTGGTTTGTATCATAGCTCTCTATCATAGCAGTTTGTTTAAATAAATAGAGTCCTCTTTGCAAACTAAAGTTAATTATGGAGTTCCACAGATATATTTTCACTCCTATGCAGATGACACCCAACTTTATTTGTTCATGAAGGTAACACACACCAATTAGTTAAACTGAAGGAATGTCTAAAGACATAAAGACCTGGATGACCTCTAATATTCTGCTTCTAAATTCACTTAAAAATTAGGTTATTGTACTCTCTCCTAAAAGTCTTAGAAATATGGTATCTATCCATTTCTTCTTGTTAAAATGGAGTTTTTCCTTCTCACTGTCACCAAAGTGCTTTCTCATAGTGGTTCGTATGATTATTGGGGTTTTCTCTGTTTTCTTTGCATTATTGTATGATAGTTACTTTACAGTATAAAGTGCCTTAGGGCAACTCTTGTTGTGCTTTGGTGCTATATAAATAAAACTGAATTGAATTATATTTAATAAAAACTAGGCCTACAGGTCATTGGCACTTGTTAGCTTCAGTAATGAAAACACTTATTTTAAAGATATGCATGACAATGCCTTCCAGTGACCTTCCAGTGACCCCTGAAGTGAGACTAAAGACTAAACTAAAACATATTCACAAAAAACAATGTACACAAAACATCAACATCACACATGTACATCTA